CTGTAATATTTGTATAAAATTTCATTGGCCTGTAAAATGTTTCTCAGTAAGTAAAATTAATACCTTTGAAAATGCACAGGATGTAGAGTCCAAACAAAGCTGAGGAGAATTCAACAGCTAAGTTATTCAGGCAATTCTCTCCAATAAACACCAACTAGTTCCATGTGATTTGACCACTATCAAATACTTAACATGGCCCAAATGAAACAAATACAAATTTGACACCCCTTGTACAGCTATTAGTCCCATACTTCAGGAGACTTCAGCAAAGTCATTTTCAGACTTTATGTTGTACTCTGTACACCACCTTTGTTTCTACCCAAGTGCTTTGGTGCCTTCAGACTTTTAGTATATACAGCAATAAGCAAAAGATATAGTTCTTGCCTAGAGACTTCAAACACTGTCATAATACCAATAGTAGTAGCTGCCAAAATGCCTAGAGGTTTCAGGATGGGAGTTCCCTGAGAAGTAAAACAAATAGCCTGATGGGTGCCAGACTGAAACGAAGGACATGATTTCTTCCAGGTGTCCTCCACCATGAAATCTTGCTGCCAGCAACTCCACTTGTCCACTTTGTACCTCCCGTTACTGAGTCCCTAGCATACCTTCACATTGTTTCATCCCTGAAGCCCACCACATCTTTAAATTCATTCCTGTGAATAATAATTCTCCTCCATGTACCCTTCATCTTCCTTCCCTGTGGGGGGAAAGTTAACATATTTTGGAATGCTCCGAATATGTCCTAGCTGACCAGTCAAAAAATGAGAAAAATATAAATAATCATAATAAATAGGTAACTGAGCAATATTACAATCTTTTCTCCCCAATGCAGAAACATACATTTGAGACCTGAGACATTCACCTCTCAGGTTTCACTGAAATATGTTAAATACTGTGAGAACACATAGGGGAACAGACAGTAAACAACAAAAGCATTAAAAGCTTACTCCCTTATAGTTATTTATTCCAAGCATCCTTGAAATTTTCATAATTTTATTTCACAGAAATTCAGCAAGGAAACAAAGCAACATTAAGAGAAAAACCAACCATTCTACATCATTCACCAAGTATCCAAGTAGTACATGTGTGCATTCACACCTGAAGAGGGACACACCCTTCCCACAACTGATTTAACCTCCGTGAGAAATGGAAATTGCAGATGCACTGGGAAAAAACCCTCAACTCTGCATCAGCTTCCTTTGTTCCTTACCAACACTTTTACTTTCAGTGAACTGTAGACACAGCTTCCTCTGTCTGTGTATTCCTGGTTACTGATTACAAACAGAAGCCCATTAATTTCAATTAAAGAACAATATTCTGGATGCAACAAGGGTCTCCATGAAGAGTTGTCACTCACAGGCAAGTCACATCATAGGAGACAGATCTCTAGGGTTTGCTACAGCAGATTTCAAATGCCCAGGTAAGATGAATGGGTTATTTAGTCAAGCTACCCTGTGCTGAAGTAGGCCTTTTCTAGTCATAGTATATAGCTTCATTAAGTGTATTTTTCTTGGCTGGGGTCACAAAGAAGAATGCTCTTTTTTTTTTCCCCTCCCCAATCCTTGCCACCTTTGTCAATGATTAATGAAGCGCTGCAAATTGAAAGCTTGAAGGAAAATTTTTAAACAACCCGAGCATCAAAACAACACATTCTCTTTAAAGATGGAATAACACTAAAACCCATTCTAAAAGAAACCAAAACACTGGCATGTCTTGGTTTTGCAGTCATAAAAGCATAGAAAGATACATCTGGTGAAGCTTTAAAGCTATCACTTTAAAGCTATCACTTGGTCTGTCACCTCACTCTTTACAGCAGTTGGTTCTGGTAGACTTTTATCAATGCAAATTTATACAACTATTAATTAGCTTGTTTCATCAGCTATGCATGCATGTAACACTAGCAAGTGATAGCCCATTTCTGAGCTTTTGTGTGTTTTCTGCATGAGCTCCATTCATCACAATCTAAGACAAGTACCCATGCTAGTTTGACCAAGATTCACTATGTTGTGGAGAGCATCTGGTAGAACTATAATCAAGGGTAAATCTTCAGAAGGCCCATTTAAATCCCTCCAACACCCAATCAATTCTGGACAACATTCACACACGTGAATTAGATCAATATTCTTAAATGGCCATTCAGGAGAAACAGAGCTTCTGATAGTCATTCCAACCTAATTCAAATACATTTAGATGCCATCTTTGAAAAACATATTGCAGTTTCTGAGTGAGGAGCACTGCAGAGATGACAGTAACATCATGACCCCAGCCTGGCTGGGGTCCCTGAAGCAGGGACAAAGGCTCTGGTTTGTCAGTTGCAAATCCCTGAGGTGCTCAGTAATTTCTTGACATTAAAGAAGGTATGGAAACCTACTAGTGGTAACTTCAAACAGGCAATATCCTTACACCCCAAAGATGTTGCAGTTTTTTGCATTGTCTGAAGAACTGGGAAAGTGAAAGGAAAACTAGTGACCAAGGCTTGAGGGGGGTAAAAAAAAAAAAAACACAAATATTTCTGGCAAGATATTCACAGCTTTACAATCCAAATTTCTCGTGTTCTTTTGACAAATGCCAAACTGGTGGGTGCTGCTTTCATTTCAAATGCTTCTGATTAGATGCTAATAAAGGGAGCGATGACACATGCATCTTTATTTAGAGGTTCAGCTGGGGTCTCCCTCACCATAGCTCTCTTGCTTGGAGAGTGGGATATGCCAAGGATTTTACTTCATTTTTCAGATTCATGATGGGTGGAAAGGTTCCTTCCCTGAAAGCAACTCTACTGCCTCCCCTGAAAAGAAATCCCCCCCCCTTTTCTGAGCCAATTCTGCTCATTTTTGGGTCAGTGCCTTGTTCCACTTGGAAGCCATATTGCAGTGCGAGCAAGGAAACAGCCAATAAACAGGAGCTCTGGTATTTGGTTTTCTCAAAGTCCCAGGCAAAACCCATAGCTAAAGTGCTTGGTACAGGATCCCAGAAACATCTGCTTTCTTTTCAAAGCTGGATTTTTTTATTTTAACTTCTCTCCTCCTCCTCACCCTATAAGCACCTTTGTGAGGAGAAGGAAGGGGAGTTCTTAGTTATATAAGCAGGGCAAAGTAAAAACTGAACTCTGCAATCTCTAGATAATTATGCCTGGCACCTGAAGGCTAGGGCAGTAATCCTCACATTTCTCTCACACTCTATTGATGGATGGCGTGCTGAGGGTGTGAAGTCTATTTCCCTTTTCCCATCGCTGTCCAAGTGCTGGAACTGCAGGATGGGCTTTTGTAAGCTCAGTCCCTCTTACCAGATGTTTCTTTTTTTGTTAATATTAGCACATGACTTTAGAATGAACAGCCACAACACAGTTATGGAGTGCAGAAGAGCTTTCAGGCTGCCGCCCAAGTCTCTTGCATATGCTGACCTGGCAAAGACCAGTTACAGTCTTAAGATTAGAAATATCACTGAGGCCTAAAGAGGTTTGTTGTACCCATTAAGCCATCCTGGTTTACTCAATCATTGTCAGAATTCTTAAGTCACTTATACAAACGTGCCTATTTATATTCAGTTATATCTATGTACACCTGAGTACCCAGACGCAGCCCGTACAAAGGAGGTTAGTGGTGAAGCTTCCTCACAATCAGTTTTGAGATCAAGATTGATCTTATTTCTTAGAAGTCTTTTATATGTCCATTACAGTTGCAGCGAAAATTAATTTTAGAAAACCTCTTGTGCTAGAGACATGTAGATTTTATGATCAGACTAAAGGGTTTCTTCTGGCTTTGCACTTCATGATTTTAAGAATATATGTATTTGTATACATGTATGTGCATGCATAGATGTGTAGAGTATCATATGAAAACACTTTTTTGAAAGATATTTTGAATTAAATTAATTTTAGGAAATTGACATTAAGGAAACTCATAGGGATGTTTTGAACATAAACGAGACTTTTTGTAAAGATTATAGCAGCAGCGAGTCTTTGAAGGTGATAAATACACACAGCAAACACTGGAACAGAGCATGAAATAATATCTCCTCCGAACTCTAGCTCTTCTGCACATTAGAACTGTCACAACATTGGCAACTCATGTTATTCCAAATGTTAAGAGCAACACCCCTACCCTAGACAAAATTACATATGCTACTGTCAATAAAGTGGACAGCCGTCCTGATGAGAGATAGACTTCCATACTGAATTGTTTCTGGGCCACTCTCCTGCAGAAGGCCACAATACTAAATAACAGATCTTGGATGTACAGAAATGAACCAATATACTGACAGTAGATTCACAACAATCAATTTTCCATTCCAGTTTAAGTAAGCATGTGAAGTCAAGTAACAAACACTGCTTCTGTACTTCAGAAACACATTCTAAGTGCTTTGAAAGAAAAGAAGAAAGAATTTCTACACAGCATTCACTTCTGTTTTGGTCAACAGTTTCCAGCTTTCCCAGTGAATAAAGAACAAGTACCCACGTTCTTAAAATGCATTCATAAATACACATATTTATGTAAAATTTAATACACCTACATACATACATTTATCTCGTTTTAATAACTGTTCCTCATAGCCAAACCAACTAAAACAGTGAGACTATTTTCTAATCTCAGAGCAATATTCTGTATTTTGCTTCTTAACCAGCAAGAAGAACAGATTCACACGATATTTTGGAAGAAGCACACCAGCAGAAAATACATAGAGCAAAGTTTTAGAGCCAGTTATATAACTAATTCAACTCAAAACCCAATATCTCCTTCTCAGTTATAAAGCAGATACATTTACTTTAAGAAGTAATTCTGCTAAATGCAGTCTTTAAACACTTTGACACTGAATTGGTAATAAATAAAGTAAACGAAAGTCGTAACACATTGCCTTAAAAAAAACTTAAAAGCATATGAAAACCAAAAAACCAGTGGGATACTGATAATCCCAAGAAGCAGCAAAACTGTTTCTGACAAGATCCTTACGATACCAGGCAAAGTATCATGAAGAATACCAACAACCAAAAACAGAAAAAAAACATTGACTCACCCAGCCGGCATTGAAATTTTGGCTATGGAACTCTCCTACACAAGGGCCTTCATCCAGAAGAAGCTCTCCCTTCAGAGGCTAGCCCTTAAATGAGCCTGAGGGCAGGGGAGTGGGGTGGTACCTTCCACGTGACTCCTTCCACTTGGAAAGCACAGGTAAATTGTTTGCACCTGTGCTCCCTGGGTGAGCCATGCCCCTTCACCAGGTGCTCAATCATCAGTTCAGGCCATGACCTAACAGTTCCTCTGCAGATTCAAAAAGCAAAATGACAGTAGTGAATCTGAGCAACTGCTCTCTTGCAAAAAGCTTTGATATTGATGTTTCTCTTTAGGTGCTACCACTAATGTGAAGCTCTGTGCCACCACAGTTTGAAACTCAAGGAATGTAGATTACTACGTGATTAGAGATCAGACTTCTCTCAGTACAGATGTAAGCCACAAATTGGAAGGATGATGTCTCTGAATATGCAGCTCTCTGTGCTCAAGACTTTCAAATGTTTGGAAAGGTTTGCCATGGTCTTCATCTCAAGGTTAAATCTGGAGAATAAATTCAGCTTGACTTTGCTACTTGGTTTTCAAACAATTCTTGGTCTCTCTTATTAACTACCAACTCCTCCCTGCTTGAAACCCAAAGTTTATAGTATTATTTTCCTGATGAAATATTTGCTGCTTTTGGATTATAATTATAGCTGGTCAGAAACCAGAATTTCCTTTCCTTAGGATACTCTGGCATTTGAAAGATGAGAGTTTGTGTTCCAAATTAGAATAGAAAGCCAACATTATGAAATTTCTTGTGAAAAGAGCACACTAAACATTTCAACAGGGGACTATTGAAAGTTTTCATTGTCATAATATCAAAGTATACTGTCCAATAAATGAAAACATGTTTCAGTGAGGGAAAAATAAAAGTTTAGAATTTCAGATTATGTTTTTCAATAAAGAAAAACTTATATACAAGCTTTATACATACAAAGTGAAGGAACAATAACATGAAAAGCTGTTCTCGAATTGTCATTTACACACTCCCTTCTCTTTTCCTATGACAGTTTGCTTTGTGAAAGATTATTTTCCTCATATTGATCAGAATGATCATATTCGATCATATCTGATAGTAATCGATCATATCTTTCTTACTTTCTCAAGGCACACTGCCTCAGTGCACATCATCTCTTGCCAGGTGGAAAGGACATAAGAAACATGAGGTTATTATGGAGGAGGTAGAAGAATGGAACATCTGGAAAAGAAAACACAATTCCACAGGAAATCTGGCTTCAATAGTTCAGCTACTCAGGCAACAACTTATTATTTCTGGAGATGCTGGCTAAACATGAGATGAACTGTCTGCAGTCTTCTGCTCTTCTAAAAGGTGATGAAGAGAATAAATACAACTATCTTTAAGGCTAACACCTGAAATTGGCATGCGAGTAAGGTTTAAAGATTGAAGAAGACCTGGTAACTGAATCAGTGCAGTGTTGAGCAGGAAATTTAGCATTCATGATGAGTCTGTCCTATGTTCTAGTAAGTTTTAGCCAATTTCAGTGTCCTTTGGAGGTGAAGCTCAAAGTTTTTATGGGTCTCAAGGACTAACACGAAATTTAGACCCCAGAGGTTTTGGGAGGTGGGAAGTTGTTTGTCATTCAAAATATAATTGGATGAAAAAGCCTAGTACTGAACTTCTGTGCACACTTGATTATGACTGCAGTGACAATCAGTGACATTATCTATTAAAGGTGCAAGGACAGATGGTACGTTTTCTCCTTTTACTAAGAAAACTCCCAGCACTCCCTCTGTGAAATTATGCTGATTAACAAATTTCCCTGATTTTCCATAAATATATAACCTGTACTTTCATATATATACTCTACTGCTTTGTGCCAGTGGGCCTGTGTGGTTTTGAAGATCACCAAGTAAATTCTGCCCTCAAGCTGAAGGTGTATCTCTGTTTGCCAGACTTGTAGTTATCAAGCAGGCTGCAAGAGGAAGCTCCGCTAAGCATCATGACTTGTAGTACATCAAGTGCTAAGTGGGAAGGCTGCCCAGCAGGCTGAAGTGTGTGTGTGTGTGCAATTGCATGCACACATTTCTTCACCTGCTTTTTCTCACATCGCAAGTCACCATGCAAAGGATCTTACCACATGCCAGAGAAGAACAGAATAAAAAAATAAAATGACACCCTTTCTTCCCTGCCTCCCAAGCCAGCAAAAACTGGACCCAGTCCTCAGAAAGTGTAAAGAGCATCACTGCATGGGTTACTGTGCTGAGCTCAGTAACTGTTACAGTGTGTCCACTCATATCTTTACCAAAGATGCATTTTGCTAAATAAATTCTGATTGAAAGCAAAAATAACAAATAATAATAATAATAAAATTAAAAAAAAAAAAAAAAGGGAGGGGGAGGGGGGGGAATGGGAAATGCTGAGCAAGGAATTGATGAAAATTCATGTTGGAGAGCTGGGGCCAGATGGAGAACGATGGGCTCTTACACAATTTTTCACACAAATATTCCCAACTACCCATTGGGTATTACACAACTTTGCTCTTTTCTTGTCCAGCAAATCCATCTCTATTGGTATGGTTGCATTTCCCCTTGAAACATATCCTCATTTTCTAGACAGGTATTGAATCTTCTCCTCCTCTCTCCTGCCTTCAGTCAATAGCTCACTTGTGCTTCCAGACTTACGCTCCTCCAACCTACCTGAACTAGGGGTTTAATTGTCCCACATTCATTCCACATGCTGAAAGAGAGGAGAAGCACTTGCCAGGAGTGACTGAGTCTACCTCGTAACTGAAATTTCTTTCCAGATCTATGAGTCTCCAGCTCATATGTGGTGATGAAAGTTGTCCTTGCTGGGTCATCAAGTTGAACGGAGGCTCTATTCTGCCTCACTGTTTTTGAATGTCAGATATTTAAAGGAAAAGCCCAAAGCCAGGTTCAAAGTAGTCTTGTAGACTGGTATATTCCCTTTGGCTGTACTTTGTTATCTCTTAGCAAGTGGAAGCAGATTTCAGAACTATCTAAGCCAGTTTCTCACATGACGCAGTGCACTAGTGATGTGGAATCACAAATTGTTGCAATTTGTTCATTTCTTACACAAACACCAGCCCTGTTTCCTGGAACAGCAGTTGTAACAAGCTGCATGCACGTACTTCACTGTAGCAGGATATACAAGCAATGAGAAATATTCCCTCTTTCCACCCAGGCAGTGTTCAGTCGTCTTTTAAAATAGCCCAACCAATACCTCATTTACCACTTATCTCCAGAGACTGTTCTGTAGCCTGGCACTTCTCACCCTTAGGAAATGATGCAACATGAATGTCCCTCTCCAAATTATGTTTTCTCCACATCATGCCCCCTCTAAAGTTTTTTGTTATTGTTGCTGTTGTTGTTTTTAATTCCCTTCAAGTATTTTACTAATGCACAGTACCAGACACTAGTCTGAAACTTCAAAGTCTGGTTCCAAACAGTGCCTCAGAATATCAAAGATGTGTCCTCTCCATCTGGAAAGATCCAGATCTGATCAAGAGTGCAGGGTTGATGCAATTTTATGGGCATAAACGTGGCATAAATTCCACAATCTATCATTTGCTCTTCAAATGCCTCTCCAAGGTCTGGAGTATAAAATCACAAAAATGTTTGCATGTAAGAGACTGTCTGAAGCTCATCTTTCAAATGGTTTTCAGTATGATGGCAAAATTGGATAAGTTATGTAGCTTTCAATTAAAGCAGTTTATTTCCTTGATCCTTTTCTTTCCTTTTTTCTTTTTTTTAACTTTCTTTGGCAGTGACCAAGTAATATCTACAAAATAATAATAATGACCTGAGTCAACAGTAGGTCCCTCAGTGAACTGTAAGTCATACTCAATGAAAGCTTTTGCCTGGGTCGGTACATGGAGGAAAATGATAGACCCTAACACAGATATGCTGGTAGTCCCACAATAACAGTTTTATATGTACACAGATGCTGATCTGTTCAAAAGGACAGTGTGTTTTTCATTTTCCAACATTTGGCAAAGGAAATCGTGTAGTGGTTATGGATTGGGTGACTATCATCCTGGTCAGCTAGGCAGGTATGATTTATTTATCAGCTTTCCAGCTTTCCACAGAGGGCAGGCAGAGGGGAGGTGAGTAGGGTGGAGGAGACTACAGGGGGAGAAGAAGAGAAGCGTGGGGGAAGGGAATAGGGAAAAGCAAGATTTATATCCAGATGGGAATGTTGAGACAAGGGTGGGAGCCATGGCAGGGAAGGAGCGTCCACAATGAGGGCTATTCATCAATCCTTGCAGCAACAAGCTCTGAAATGTAAAGGGCTAGAAAGTATTCCTTCAGCTCCATCCCTAGGGGAGCCTGGGGCTCTAGCAAGGAAGTGGCTACACACCAGTAGCTGCACAGTATTGGGCTCAAATATCTCATATTGTGATTGCATCTGGCTTTGAGGATGACAGAGTGGCTTTTTTCTCCTCTGCAACTCCTTGTACATCAGTAAAAAAGCACATTCAGCAAATCTTTCATAATCTGTCTCTGAGCAAGGTGGGCTGCAGCAAGAGCAATAGAGTAATGACAAAAATGGCACAGGAAATACAAAGAGTGCATGGTACTTAAAATTTTAGGACCATAGAATCACAGAACAACTTGAGCTTCAAGAAACCTTAGTAGGTCTCCATTCCAGTACCCTGCTCAAAGCAGGGCCATGAGATCTCCTTGATTTAATTTCACATGGGATGGTGTTCCCAGGATGGCAAACTATCTCATTTTCTGCAATCTTGGGTCAATTCAGCTGCTTGCTATCACTGGAAGAAAAGCTGGATTACCACCCATCTAGTTATAAATGAGCAAAAGAGTTTCAATGCAAGCAGACCAAATTGGAATAATACAGAAATGAGTCTTTATACTTTTCCACAAGTTAAAGTTTTCACAGAAGAATTGGAGGAATCAATCTCAAAAGTCTGAATTAATTACCAGTCACCATGTATTTTGTGATGCAGAAACCCATGGGCACTGGGATCCATGATGTTGTAAATTGCCACAGTTTTACTCATTTCAATGATGTGAGGCTATTTAGATAATCATCGATTTAGCTAAACAGTGATTAGAAATACTCTTTTTTTCCTGTTGTTC